CTTACAGTGCGGAGTTTCACCCCAAAGCCAAAAATTCTAATTATGTCCCCCCTCCCCCACAACCCTACATCTGCTTATCCCCTAGTCCAGCAATTATTTATGCACCCCCACGTCTTTCTGGTCCCTCAGCCCAACCTGTCTCCTGTAGCTGCAGGGGTTCTTCACCTCCCTCCTCCAGGTCTGGGGTGGGAGGGTGGGGGTGCTGGGTTTTCCCTCTTCCCAGAACTGGGGAGGGGGAAGCTCCAAGGATTCATCACATCCCCTCCCTTTCCTGTGTCTAGTGTTGCAGGGATGGAGGAGCAGATTGACCCATGGTTTACAGAAAGGATGGAGGAAGTGGCTGGATCCATTCTGCTCTCCTTTCTCCTCTTGTGAGGGTGGTGTGTCAGCTGCTCCTTCTCTACCCTTCCCTCTCCAAAACCTCCTCTCAGCTCCCGAGGGGTGGGGGAGAGTTTTGCCTGCCTTCAGTGTCCTTGACTAGCTGCTCTTCCCCAAAAGAGGGGACTTTCCCCCTGCGCAGGATTAGAAATTTCAACGGCTGGAACTTCTCATCAGTGTGAGATAGGATTTTGTTCCCTGTTGGAGCCAGTTACTGGGCTTGAAATTGCATGCATCAGCAACTCTGTGCCTCTGTTTGGTAGGGATAATCCTTCCTCCCACCCTTTGTCTTTCTTGTCTATACAGGTTGTAAAGGCTTCAGGGCAGTGATGGTCTTTTACTTTGTGTTTGTACAGCGCCTAGCACAATGGGGATCTGATAGCAGTTGGGGCTCCATTGTCCTTCAGATTGTTCTGTAACATTCTCCTCTGCCACGATGCCTACAATAAACTTGACAAGGGTTAGGCACCTGCTGTGCTGAGACCACTGCCTATCATCAAGATGACCAGCATGGTCTCATTGAATCATAGAATCATAGAATATAAGGGTTGGAAGGGACCCCAGAAGGTCATCTAGTCCAACCCCCTGCTCGAAGCAGGACCAAATCACAGTTAAATCATCCCAGCCAGGGCTTTGTCAAGCCTGACCTTAAAAACCTCTAAGGAAGGAGATTCTACCACCTCCCTAGGTAACGCATTCCAGTGTTTCACCACCCTCTTAGTGAAAAAGTTTTTCCTAATATCCAATCTAAACCTCCCCCACTGCAGCTTGAGACCATTACTCCTCGTTCTGTCATCTGCTACCATTGAGAACAGTCTAGAGCCATCCTCTTTGGAACCCCCTTTCAGGTAGTTGAAAGCAGCTATCAAATCCCCCCCTCATTCTTCTCTTCTGCAGGCTAAACAATCCCAGCTCCCTCGGCCTCTCCTCATAACTCATGTGTTCCAGACCCCTAATCATTTTTGTTGCCCTTCGCTGGACTCTCTCCAATTTATCCACATCCTTCTTGAAGTGTGGGGCCCAAAACTGGACACAGTACTCCAGATGAGGCCTCACCAATGTCGAATAGAGGGGAACGATCACGTCCCTCGATCTGCTCGCTATGCCCCTCCTTATACATCCCAAAATGCCATTGGCCTTCTTGGCAACAAGGGCACACTGCTGACTCATATCCAGCTTCTCGTCCACTGTCACCCGTAGGTCCTTTTCCGCAGAACTGCTGCCTAGCCATTCGGTCCCTAGTCTGTAGCTGTGCATTGGGTTCTTCCGTCCTAAGTGCAGGACCCTGCACTTATCCTTATTGAACCTCATCAGATTTCTTTTGGCCCAATCCTCCAATTTGTCTAGGTCCTTCTGTATCCTATCCCTCCCCTCCAGCGTATCTACCACTCCTCCCAGTTTAGTATCATCCGCAAATTTGCTGAGAGTGCAATCCACACCATCCTCCAGATCATTTATGAAGATATTGAACAAAACCGGCCCCAGGACCGACCCTTGGGGCACTCCACTTGATACCGGCTGCCAACTAGACATGGAGCCATTGATAACTACCCGTTGAGCCCGACAATCTAGCCAGCTTTCTACCCACCTTATAGTGCATTCATCCAGCCCATACTTCCTTAACTTGCTGACAAGAATACTGTGGGAGACCGTGTCAAAAGCTTTGCTAAAGTCAAGAAACAATACATCCACTGCTTTCCCTTCATCCACAGAACCAGTAATCTCATCATAGAAGGCGATTAGATTAGTCAGGCATGACCTTCCCTTGGTGAATCCATGCTGGCTGTTCCTGATCACTTTCCTCTCATACAAGTGCTTCAGGATTGATTCTTTGAGGACCTGCTCCATGATTTTTCCAGGGACTGAAGTGAGGCTGACTGGCCTGTAGTTCCCAGGATCCTCCTTCTTCCCTTTTTTAAAGATTGGCACTACATTAGCCTTTTTCCAGTCATCCGGGACTTCCCCGGTTCGCCACGAGTTTTCAAAGATAATGGCCAATGGCTCTGCAATCACAGCCGCCAGTTCCTTCAGCACTCTCGGATGCAACTCGTCCGGCCCCATGGACTTGTGCACGTCCAGCTTTTCTAAATAGTCCCTAACCACCTCTATCTCCACAGAGGGCTGTCCATCTCTTCCCCATTTTGTGATGCCCAGCGTAGCAGTCTGGGAGCTAACCTTGTTAGTGAAAACAGAGGCAAAAAAAGCATTGAGTACATTAGCTTTTTCCACATCCTCTGCTTTTCCATCCATTGCTTTGTTTGCTTCCTCCCCCCTCTCTCTAACCATCTGTTCTCTTGTAAGTTCTTTGGGGCAGGGACTGTCTTGTTGTGTGTTTTGTACTGTGCCTAGCATCATGAGGTTCTGGTCCATATGCTATGGTAATATAAATAATAAAACATGCCAGATTTTAAACTTTCAGCTGCCTCTGAGAAAACTGATCTTCTGGCCAAATTTGAAGTCTTGAATTTCAAAATTTGACACTATGGACATCTTGAGAATTTTGTTTGGAAACAGAATCACTTCTTGAATTCTGAGTTGTTAAACTTATCAGGTGTTTTTTTGCCAGAAACTGGGAATGGGCAACGGGATAGATCACTTGATTATCTGTTCTGCTCATTCCCTCTGGAGCACCTGCCACTGGCCACTGTCAGAAGACAGGATACTGGGCTAGATGGACCTGTGGTCTGACCAAGTATGGCTGTTCTTCTGTCTTTGCACATGTGTAATAAAATGCAAACTGATATTACTTTTGAGGCTTTTAAGTTGGCTGTAGAGCTCGTCAAAATGTTTTCACTGAAACATTTTTAGGGGGGAAATGGCTTTTCAATCAAAACAATTCTTACAGAGAATGTTCATTTTGCTTGAACTTTGTGTTTCTAATGGAAAACTAGAAATTAGGTGGGGGGCAAATAGCTTTTTGGGTTTTTTATTGAATCATTTGAGACATTTTGGGGGGAAAAAGCAAAAAAAATTGAAAATTTCCCATGAAAAATTATTAGCATTTTTCAACCAGCTGTACTTGGCTGTGATCACTTTGTGCAGGTCCACCACCTATTAACACATTTCCTTGGTAGACATAACTCTTGAATTTGAAAATACATATATAGGGTTTTCGTACATCAAGGGTTGTCAGTTGACATTGTAGCCTAGTTTTTATCTTCTGAATCCCCTTTATAAAGAGGGATGACATGAATGACTGTTCTCTGCTAGTTTCACCTAAAAGTACCTGTTTCCTTGTTTGTTGACATGAATTAAATGTCCCTTTCACTTACTGTTTTGAGTCCATGACAAGCACTAGTGTTGTCCATAGGTTGAGTTTGCTCATTGATCACTGCTTCATATACAGTATTTTGCAGGTTCTGTATTTATCTCCCCTAGTTCTTTCCTACAAAAGGACATATGGGTGGAAATAGAACTTTTGCATTGGCATGAGTCCTGCTCAGGAGTTGAAGTGCAAGTTTTACTCTGAGGGGTCTTCAGTGGTACATGTGAAAGAAGTAAATGGGTCTCAGTCCGCATCACAAGAAACCCATTGTCGTAAGAGACTTTCTTATTGGCAATCTCAGTAGAGAGGCCAAGGAATTGTCATGTAGACTGAATAACTCATACTATGTGCCGCGGTATTCCTTATGAACATTCTTGGTGTATCTGATCATGTCTCCTTCTAGTGGCTGGCCCCTGAAATTAATAACCTGCTACTTCAGCAAAACTACTGACATTCTCCTTTCGCTGAAATGGTATAGTTTTGTGCTTTTGATGTGCTGATGATCCCATTCCTGAACAAATTCCATTGCCGAACATTCTGTCTACATGTCTGTGGTTATGGTTTGTGGGATAGGGATGTACTAGAAACCCCAAAATATAGTTGCAAATCCATTTGTAAGGAAGCTAAAACACCTTGCTGTTAAAGCTGACAAACTTTCATTGAATTCCACACTCATGAAAGTCAATGAAATATGACTGCTGCTATTCAAACATTTCAGACCTCAAAAGGCTCTTGTGATGTTTCATTTGAGATAGGATCCCAACTAGATGGATTACAGAAGAATGGTGCCATTTCAATACCATTTAATATTGCTCAGAGCCTGAGAGAGAGAGAGACACACACACACACAAACACCGCCCCCCCAGCTGTTACTTGAATTGCTTGGATTCACAACTCTTCATTTTTCAGGTACACTTCAGTGCCACCAGACTAACCAGCAAGACTTGGCACATCATGGAATTCTAATGGGTAGTTAAGGTAGGGGCTAGCCACAAATTAACAGCTTTGCTGCCCAGCTGGAAGTGGGGGACAATGCATGTCTTGCTTGTTTGCTGCTCTGTCCCTGAATATTGTTTCATGTGAGAGTGGCATCCACCAAATACTGAGGCAGCATTTTGATTTTACTGGATGTCTGTTTTTCTCTATGGAATAAATGGGAGGTTTTCCCTGCACACTTTCATTTGGAGTCTTTATGCAGTAGCCTGCCACTTTGTAAAGCAGCTGGGAATTTAACGAGTACAAATGAGAAGCTGTGGATAATTAGGCTTCTGGGTGTTTGAGCATTATTAATTTTTTAAAATCAATTAGCTAATCAAGAAAGTGCTATTGCAACACTTTTTCTTTTTTTTCCTTCAAGCAAAGTTCCAGATCCTGGTGGGAACCCTGTATCTGACAGGACTCCGAAGACAACCCCACTGGGCAATGAAGGGAAGCAGATTCTGATGGACGAGGCTGTATAACGAAGCATGATATTGATCTGTGGTTCATGCTGACCACAGAGCCTAGCTGAAATCATTCTTTAGCTCTCTGCCCTAAACTCTGCCAGCTGGAACATACAAACTTCCTACCGGCATGGACAACCTTTGAATACAGCAAGAATTTATCTCCAGAGTTAGGGGTGTCAGTCTGTCTGACCCTGGAGATAAGTTAATAGAATGAACTATGTATGTTATCAATAATATCATTTGATAAATACAGCCAAGGATTTACAAGATGACTAGTGATTTTAGGTGCCTTTGTTTTGTGGATAACTAACTGAGACCTCTTAAAGGAGCCTGATTTACAGAAAGTGTTGAAAATCAGGTCCTTTTAATGTGTCTCAAGGTGGGTACCCCAAAACTGAGCCACTTAAAATCACTAGCACTTCTGAATGTTTGTGGTATTTTCAAGTGCCTATGTGGCTTAGGAACATGAACCCCATTGAGGGCAAGGGCTTGTGCTCCCGAGTCCCCTATGTGTTTTTGAGAATCCCACCCTTGTTCTGTATCTCTTGCTGAATACATAGGAAGCTAAATACATACTAACTACAACTTTCATGATGATATTGCTTTGGACTATGAGATTGTAACATGCAGTGATGGAAGGCGTATTGGAGCCTACTGTTCCCTCGCCGTGTGGGCAATTATTCACCTGCCACAACTCCTCCATGCAGTGAAGAGAAGAATAGACCTCTCCATATGAGTCAAGCTGTAATACATATGGTACAAAGCTGGGGTGAGAACTGTAACCCAAGAAGGAGGATCTGATGTTGACATATGTGACAGTAAAAGAAAATAATCCTTTAAACTTTGCTGTCCTCTTACATTTCACGAATTAATTTATGTATTTTTTGTATTTAAAATGAGTGAATTTAGTGCTCATGAAAACGTGGTTTGAGGCAGTGTGGCATGTACAAACAATTCCTGTGGAGATCTGGTCAATGCCCTTTAATCCTGACTCTCAAGCACTGAGCTGTTCTTCTCCCAGGCCTTGCCTGAACAAAGTTTACCTTGTCATGCAATGTGTTTGATCTGCCCAAATACAGGATAGCCCACCAAACTTCATTCCATGGGTGATCTAAACTGGGATTTGTAGTCAAGTCTCTAGGGTAACAGGCTACTGCACCAAACCACTGTGCCACCAAACTGATTTCCCCCATTAAGCAACCTCTGCTGACATGGTCAGGGGTTAGTGTTCACTCCTCAAAAGTACAATGCTCCAAATAGTGCTTTACCTGTCTGACGCCCGCCACTCAAGAATTGTAACTCTTCACAACACCCCCATTTAATTGTGGGTGGGTGGGCAGGGGCTGGAAGTAGTCTTATATTAGACCTGAACATGCTGGATTAGATCATTTCTGACCTGGTGCCTGCATATCCCTTCTGCTCCAAAGTGACAGTCATTCCACCCTGGAGGCCATGAAACACAAAGACAGTGATAGGTTTCAGAGTAACAGCGGTGTTAGTCTGTATTCGCAAAAAGAAAAGGAGTACTTGTGGCACCTTAGTGACTACGTTTACCGCTTAATAAAATGAAGCCTTTATGGTTTAGAGACTTTTCTGCCCCCTCCTTTTGTGCAGCCCCATAGGCTTCCACTGTGCTTCAAGGGTGATGCCCTCGATACTTGAGGCATTTGTTCCACGGCCTGGAATGTAGCGGTGCCATCTCAACTGCCAACTTGGGAACATTCATTATACAACAATGTCTGATATAAGAAGAACATACAAAAATGGACAGAGCTCCTTTGAGCTTTGCCTTGGCTCTGCTGTGCAGTATAGCGTGGGTACATACATATACCTGTCTGTGGATTTGTCTATCTCTTTGGCATGTAAGTGTCCAGCTGCGTGACAGCTGTGTATGAAACACTGTCCAGATGGTGGGTGCTTGTCAGGTTTGGCTTTAATCTCTCCTTGGTTTATTGTTCTTAGATCATTTGCATCTGTTTGTTTTATGTGACACACAAGCAGGTGATCGTGCACAGGAGATGGGAGGTCTCCATGCATTGGAAGTGGGAGGCCGTTCCAGATGAGGAGTTGGCATGAAAAGAGACCCTGCGTCATGAATGGATGAAGGGCAGAGCGAAGGACAGAAGTGGGCGGCATGTAGAGTCGGAGGAGTGGAAGGAAATAAAAGTTTGAGAGAGAGGCAGCAATAGAGCTTTGGAGGAGAAGATGAGACAGTGGGACAGAAGATGGAGGGAAGTACCTCTGTCTGCAGCTGGCCAGGAGACCCATCCTCTAACGCAAACATTACCTCCGTTATGCCATCATCACCTCTTAACTGGGCTGCTGCCCATTACCTGGGTCTGCCAGATATGTGGGGCTACGTTTTGAACACCTGTTGGAAGCTTCTGCAAGTGCATAATGCTAATAGGCAAGGATGATCTCATAACATCAGTGTTCTGTGCCTTCCCCTCCGCTTAGGACCAAGATAGTCACAGGATCATATTCCTTTGTGGTCTAGGACCTGTGAAAACTGCCTCTCTCTCTCTGTCCCATCTTTGTGTGGAGCATCTGAGAACTGGTGGGGAGAGATCGCTGAGCTGTGCCCGTAGCGTTTTCTTGTCTTTGATCATCTTAGAGACTAAGTACTCCTTTTCTTTTTGCGAATACAGACTAACACGGCTGTTACTGAAACTTGTCTTTGATGTTCTCCCAGATCCTGAGGTGGGAGAAGAATGGTCGTGTGGCCAAATCACAGCACTGGGAGTCAGGATCTCTAAGTCCTACAGTATTCACAGCTCTACCACAACTTTTCTGTGTGACTTTAGACCAGTCTTGTCACCTCTTTTGTGCCTCAGTTTCACCCGTTGTACATTGGGCATGACACCATTCTATTGAAATATCAATATTTTCCAACAGTTGTTTGTTAGTACCCAAAGTATAGAAGAAAACTGGTGTGTCTGGTACCATTCAGTGGCAACTTGGCAAATGCTGTCATTTTAATGGCAACAATCATGCCATGTAGAGTTGGTGTGCAGTTTAATTCAGTAGGTATATAAAGAACTTAGTCCCTTTGCTGAAAGTACAAAGTGCTATATTGCTAGTATGTTACTTGCTTGTTTGTCTTTTAACTAACAATCGCTACATCAGAGAAAGGAAAATGCATGGCAGATGAAAGGCAGTAATTTTACTGAGCCATCCGTGTGGGTGACTCATGTATTTTTGTATTTGCTTGTTTTCAATTACATTTATTGGATGAGACCAGATGCTATGTTTAGATGCCAAAGAGATAAAAACAGTTACACAAAGCAAAGTCTACACTTGAGTTTATTTAAAACAATTTTTAAACAAAGTGCTCCTGTTAAAGTGCTACTTACATAGTTGGCTTCTTCCCTCTGGCCCTATAACTGTATTTCCAGCATCTGAGGTGCAAGACCATAGACTTCTCCATCTCTGTAACTTGTTATGCTCAGCGCGTGTCTCCAATTCAGTGTTTCTGTGGTTAATTAAAGTTTACTGCAGAAGGAGCAGGGAGTGGGTTGAGAGCACTGATGAAGAGATGACTAACAAAGTAATCGGCATGTGATTATAGCGTGGGCTGCCAGGCACCGATTAGCCCTCCTTGGACTCTGCTTTTATCTAAGCTCTACATTTTGAATTAATTCTGTGTTAATGATACCTAGGACTTCTATCCCATCTAGCTCATCGCATTAGAGCAAACTGAACAAAAGGTCCCTGAATTTCAAAAGCCTCTGATTCAACTCAGGTTGCAACTGCTCAGATGAAATATGGCAGTGGGTGGTTGGCTCCTTTCTGACTCTCTGAACTCCTTGCCCGGTGGGAAGGACAGTGTGGGAAATTAAGGTGACATTACAAATTCTTGTCACACTCATTATATGCATCATAGAGGGTTGTCTCAGAACTCCAGTGGTTGATAGCTCATGTGAAGAGGAGTGGAGAATGGGGTTGTGGGATAAGTCACCGAAAAAACTTTCCACAAGTAGAGAGAATGTCAAAGAATATAGGGATAGGAAGGTTGTTGTTTTTCAATTTTTGAAGAACACAGGCTTAAATGAGCTTTTATGGAAGCCCGCTGATGCGTACCTGATACAAACGAAGAGAAAAGCCATCTTTAGACATCCTGTGTTAATGCTACTTGTAGATATTTTTATCTGTCTCTGTCCATCTGGGTAGTACCAATATACCCAGCATCCTCTTGCCTAGGTAATAGCTTGACGGGTTCCCAGAGCTCAGAAACCAACTTAGCTGCTCTGCAATAGCAGTGAGCTGGAAGTACTGGGGACTGGCATGTGAGCATCCCACTCCCCTACAGAACCAGCGTAATGGCCACAGCAGGTCATATTTGGCAATTGGACCAAAGTTCACACCAGCCAAGTATGTAGCTGAGGACATATATGCCCCATTAAGAGTTGAGCTGACGGATATATCTATGACTTGAGGATATGGAGGTAGACATTATCATATTTGAGGTAGAAGCGAAACTCAAACAGCTTAATGGGACTAAATCGGGGGGCCCAGATAATCTTCATCCAAGAATATTAAAGGAATTGGCACATGAAATTGCAAGTCCATTAGCAAGAATTTTTAATGAATCTGTAAACTCAGGGGTTGTACCATATGATTGGAGAATTGCTAACATAGTTCCTATTTTTAAGAAAGGGAAAAAAAGTGATCCGGGTAATTATAGGCCTGTTAGTTTGACATCTGTAGTATGCAAGGTCTTGGAAAAACTTTTGAAGGAGAAAGTAGTTCAGGACATTGAGCTCAATGGTAAATGGGACAAAATACAACCTGGTTTTACAAAAGGTAGATCTTGCCAAACCAACGTGATCTCCTTCTTTGAGAAAGTAACAGATTTTTTAGAAAAGGAAACACAGTGGATCTAATTTACCTAGATTTTAGTAAGGCGTTTGATACCGTGCCACATGGGGAATTATTAGGTAAATTGGATAAGATGGGGATCAATAGGAAAACTGAAAGGTGGATAAGGAATTGGTTAAAGGGGAGACTACAATGGGTCCTACTGAAAGGTGAACTGTCAGGCTGGAGGGAGGTTACCGGTGGAGTTCCTCAAGGATCGTTTTTGGGACCAATCTTATTTAATCTTTTTATTACTGACCTTGGCACAAAAAGTGGGAGTGTGCTAATAAAGTTTGCGGATGATACAAAGCTGGGAGGTATTGCCAATTTAGAGAAGGACAGGGATATCCTACAGGAGGATCTGGATGACCTTGTAAACTGGAGTAATAGTAATAGGATGAAATTTAATAGTGAGAAGTGTAAGGTCATGCATTTAGGGATTAATAACAAGAATTTTAGTTATAAGCTAGGAATGCATCAATTAGAAGTAACGGAGGAGGAAAAGGACCTTGGAGTATTTGGTTGATCATAGGATGACTATGAGCTGCCAATGTGATCTGGCCGTGAAAAAAGCTAATGCGGTCTTGGGATGCATCAGGAGAGGTATTTCCAGTAGGGATAAGGAGGTTTTAGTACCGTTATACAAGGCACTGGTGAGACCTCACCTGGAATACTGTGTGCAGTTCTGGTCTCCCATGTTTAAGAAGGATGAATTCAAACTGGAACAGGTACAGAGAAGGGCTACTAGGATGATCCGAGGAATGGAAAACTTGTCTTATGAAAGGAGACTCAAGGAGCTTGGCTTGTTTAGCCTAACTAAAAGAAGGTTGAGGGGAGATATGATTGCTCTCTATAAATATGTCAGAGAGATAAATACCGGAGAGGGAGAGGAATTATTTAAGCTCAGTACTAATGTGGACACAAGAACAAATGGGTACAAACTGGCCACCAGGAAATTTAGACTAGAAATTAGGCAAAGGTTTC